CTGCATGTGGATGAGCAACAGTGAGTGATTTAGAGCAAATCTCATCCCTTTGCTCATTCACACAGGTTGCTGCCTGCCACTTAGGCCAGAAACCTTGGTGAGGGCTGCATTTTCCCAGTATACTTGGCAAACTGTCAAAAGCTCCTTACGGTGATGGCAGCAATGACAGCATAAATTTTCAGTAGATCCTTCTTATTCTGTTGAAATAAATTTTGACAGCTAAAAGTCTCATGAGTGAATAATCAGCCTGAAAAAAATTGTTTTCCTCTCAATCTCATGGGAATTTTTGACACTGTCTTTACAGAGCCATATCAGCTTCTGCTTCTTCCCATATTAGCTTCTGTTCCTTCCTGGCTTGCAAATAAGCTAGCCCAACAAGTGAAACATGTGTGCTCTGTTTTTATTAAACTGAAAATGTTATTCTTGTCTCTCAGCTCAGTATTCTTAAGATGCCTTATGACTCCATACAGTGAAAAAACGTATCCTTAGAACAAGGTTTCCATCTCTTATTTGAACTCTTGTTTTAAGAGACTGTAGCTAAATATGTCCTGTTTCATCAAGGGGAACAAACACAAATCTTCTAGCTGGTTTGTAGCTATTTTTGAGTGGACTGGACTATTTAGATTATAGATAAACATATGGGAGACATGAAAAGCCCTTCTAGAGCAGCAGAATCTGAGAGGAACTGTGGCAAGGGCTGTCAAGAGGGCAGGCTATGAAGCATCTTCCCACAGTACTTTGCAGATGTGCAAAGTAAGTCTAACAGTATCCCCTGGACCTTCTTTCTTCAGGCTTTACAGCCACCAGCCCACCACTGAAGTCCTTCAAGCCACGTGAGCCTCCAAACTGTGCAGCCTGCTCCACACGGGTGGCTCGTGTGTATCTATAAGTAAGGCTGTTTGGAGACTGGTCATGGGTGTGCTCAGGGGCAGGTGTGGTGAGTCTGCACTGGGCTATCATGATTCTATGATTCTTTGATTCTATGATCTAGCGCATCCCTTTGCAAAGAAAACAAACTTTCAAAAGCTGTTATGGACCAATCATGTTCATCTCCTTAGCAGCTGGCCAGTCACTAGGGCCCCTGTGGGAGATCTTAACCACTAGTTCTGCTGTTTCAGCGCTGCTGCTGCCGCCACTGTTACCTCAAGTGCCTCATTGCAATGCTGAGCAAGAGAGCAATGCCTGCATCGCCTGCAGCAGTGTTAGATTAGGCCAGAGCAATGGAAAGGAAATTCAAGTAACCATCCGCATAACAGTGAAAAACACTGCAGAGAGAGGCCTTTCAAAGCACAAAGAAAACCAGACTGGAAAAGAAGAAAATTGTGCCTTGTTCTTATATTATTTAAGATACAGTAATCCCACAGTTACAGGAACAGGATATTTCTGTGATATTAAGACTTTTAGATTGGTGATGTTTCTTTCAGCATTCATTTTGATGTATTGTCTCATGCAAAAAATCCCGTGAAGATGTAATCCTGCTCTATCAAAATGCAAATGTATGCTAGATAAGGGACTTGTAATAGGTTCCTTTGAGACATATATCAGAGATATAACAGAGTTCTGTTTTTCACTATCAGAAAGACTGTGATGGCCGAGGGCCCCAGGAAGACATTTGATACAGAATCCTGTCACTCCATATTAAAAAATAATCATCTTTCATAAATGAAAGTGATAGTGGTTTGCTGGCTTTTTATATCTAATCACTCTACATCAAAGGAACCTCTCAACAAAGCAAGAAAATGTGCTTATCTACTTCAGTTTTAGATATCAGCTGAACACTCTTCCAGAGACTACATAACAAATCCCATCCCACTAGGAGGAGCTACTGGTGACCAGTGCAATACAGGGACATCACCATATAAAAAAAAAAAACTGAAAGAAGAGAACTGTGTGAGATCCACAAGCACATTGCCTCATAGGAAGCTCCATCACAGAAAGGGCAGCCTTCCTGATTGGAAAACTGCTGATGCTCCATGGTGCAGAAATGATTGTTGCTCAGGCTTATTACTAGGCTGTTGACTTTCATAACTACTTCTTGTGTGGTCGCTCAAAATGTGAGGTGAGATTATATGAGAGAAAGCATCACCCAACTGAGTTTCAGGTTCAGTCTGAAAGGAGGAGAGAGGCAAACCTCCCAAGAAGTGCAGTGGGAGGGCTGGAGCACCAGGCTGAGGGCTGTGTGGAGCCAAAATGCTGCTGGGCTTGGATATACACACTGACAGAATGTTGCCCTACACTGATCCCTAAGTCGCAGTTTTGTCTGATGATGCCATCATGGCTGTAAAGGACAATGCTATGATTTGGTACAGACATGTATATGAAGAAGAGGCAGAACATTTCAGCCTCTAAACATGCTGGTAAGCAGATCTGGGATAACTGGACAAAGCTGCCGGCTTTGCTGGTCCTGGACTGGCTCACTACAGAAAATGCAGCCACTGATGTTTTCATTAAATTTGACATGAATAAATTTGTAGCCTGTTGTCCCTGTTTGTAAATCTCCTGGCCTGGGGGGTTTGTGCTGCCTCTCAGCACGGCGCCTTCCCAGGCTCCTCGACAGCAGCAAGGGGTCCTGCAGCCCCCTGGGTGTCTCCTCCTCCCAAGGAGCAGAGGTCACTCGGGTTTGGCTCCTTGTGTTTGCTGTGTTCTATGTTAGTTCTTTTGTGATTCCTTCTGTTTTCACATGAGGAGAAATACAGCTAGAAAAACAGTAATTGACAGGCTGTTTACCCTGCCTGAGGGAGAGGAAGATTTGTAAGGAACAGAGTATCTTCTAATGCAAATATTCCATGGGGTTTGTCACAGCACAGGGACAGGAAGGTCTCTGGGTCTGAATACAGTTCTGCTCCTCAACTCAGGCACAAGAACACAAAACAGACTAAATGAAAGATGACACAGCCACCCCAGATTTGCAGCTGAGCTTCGTATCTGGTCTTGCTGAAGCAGCACAAGTGCTGGTGTTGGCCACTTCAGGGGACGTCAGAAAAGCCCTGGTAGAAAGACAGGAGCTCCACGTGTTAGGCTGACTCCCTACATGCAGCTTGCCATCACAGCCTGTAATTTGTGTGCATTCCTTTCCCTTGATTTCCAGCACAAATATAAGTATGAATAATACAGCACATTGTTAGCACTTCAAAATTTCCAGGGAAAGGAAAGGATCTTGATAACAGGCTTTTTTTTTCTTTTTTCCAAACAGTGCTGCATTATACAGATTCAAGCTGTGTAAATACACTACCATATAAATAAGATTTTAAATCTTTCAGTAGAGTGATGTGTCTCAAGGGCAAAAACATGTTGAAGAAAGCCAAAGAGAGGTGGGACTCTTACTAATATGGCAAGAAAACACAGCTGAAGAAGCTGTGTATGGAATTATCTACCCAGAGAAGGTTTATCTATACTGGCAGCTTAATATGAAGACAACTAGTATGATTCTAAGTATGCAGACCTCACTGGAATTAGGCAGACAGGCACTTTGAAAATCTGTGAGCTGGTTCTTCATAATAACATGATCTCAAAGTCGATTTGTTACTCGTGGAGGGAGCCTGCCTTCCTTGAAAGTACACTGCCTGGTTGTTCTAATATACCTACTTGGTTCAACTGTAAATAATCATAATTAATTGGCAGTGACTTCCCAGAGGAGAGAATCACACTTATCAGCAGGTTAGTTGCTGTGCTCGAGGCCAACAGAGCTCCCAAGGGAAAAATGCCCACGCAGTTTGTTGCCCAGGAAAATCTTGCAATGGATATCAAATGCTGTAGCTTGAATTGTGACATGATCTTGGCCAAATGAAATAGCATTTTATATTCAAGCAGTTATACAAGATCATAAGCCCCCAATGCAGCCAGTTTTTCATTCAGCGTCTCATCACAACACTGCTTCACAGTTTGCTTGAAAGGAGGGAGGCCAAGGGCTGTCCCTGAGCAGCACATACCTGCACAATTTCCAGCATCTCTGACTTACTGATGTAGCCATTCCCATCAAGGTCGTACATGCTGAACGCCCACTTCAGCTTTTGCTCCAGTTTACCTCTCGACGTTACACTCAAGGCTATGATGAATTCTCTGAAATCTATTGTTCCGTCTCCATTGGCATCAAAAGTGCGGAATACATGTTCCGCAAACTTAGAAGCGTCCCCATAAGGGAAAAAGTTTCCATATATTTTTTTAAACTCCTCCATAGATAAATGCCCACTTGGACAGTCTCTCAAGAAGCCTTTGTACCACTCCTGGATCTCATGTTCTGTAAAGTCTGTACTTTCTAGCAAATCTTGCATGACTTCAGGGCGTAGTTTGCTGTTTTGCTTTCCCATACTGGTGTTAAAATATTACCTGTAGAGGAAAAACACACATATGAATTATCACTAATTATCAATAACTGTTAGCTTGGAGGCTGTAGAAGAACAGTATGCTGTATTCTGAGTTTTCTGATGATAGTTCACTCTTGGGAGTCAACTGAAATTTTGGACAACATCCACTACTACAAGTATACTCTGAAAAATTTAACTAGCCTAATCACATGTTGATTACATTGTGTGTTGACAGTCTGGAGACTGTAATTACATTGAATTTATTGCTATCCTACTTTGCCCTTGAAATCACGAGGTAAGCAATGGATGTTGCAAGGTACAGCTGAGCAGTGTCTGGGTGTGGCAGCACACTTGCCATCCCAGTCACACAGCTGTCTCAAGGATCTGGTCTAATGACATACATTTTTGTATCTCTGGTACAAACCAGGTGGGTACAAAGGGCTTTGTTCCCTTGTTTTTCCTCCAAAATGGAATCAAGGTGCAACTGCAGTGTATGCTGAAACCAGGAGCTCCAAAGCCCTTCTAGATATAGCTTTCTTTATAGCCAGAATCATGCAGAGCAACCCAGAAGTTGCCCCTCTTGTTTGGCATGGACCAATTCCCATTTACTTCAAAACAAAGATAAATCTCAAGATATTTTATCAGTGGTGGATACCCCCAACTCAGACTATTACTGTGTTTTTTAATTTTCTTAGTAAAAATTAGATCTATTACTAAGTAATACCAATCCAGGTAGTCATAGGTCTTTGAAAAAACCTCTTTAAATAAAAAAAAAAAATTAAAAAAAAGAAGGGAAAAAGTACCCAGGCAACAAAAAATGGAAATTCCTTTCCCTTAAATTAACCATTAAGAAGTATTATTGGATACATCCTCTGTTAAATCAGCTTAATTATATTTCATTTATGCAAGTTGCTATATGTCACATTGTGTAGCAGATTTACTACTGACTGATGCCTTTGGTTTGTAAGTTTTGGAGCCTGGTGTGTTGCTCCAAAAGGCAACATCAGTTTTATTGTAAGCTTAGCATTATACCTGATTTGTGAGAAGTCATTCTCTATCAACAGACACCTGTCTGAGAATTTGTCATGCAAATGACAGTCACAACTAAGATCTGATGAATGGATAACTTCAGTAGAATTGTAAATTAATTTAAAATGGACTTTCACACTGTTGTCAGAATGGAGTCTCTGGACCAGAGATGCGTTTAAGAATGATGACTGGAGTAGCTACTGAGCATTCAGTGAAATGTCCATTCTAAACCAAGGTATTAATTTTTAAAAATGAAGAAGAATACAGTATCCATACATGTCAGAAGCAGCTACTGAGCAATGTACCACCATTTGAAGCTAATCTACTGTCTCTGCTATTTGGCATGGGGAAGAAGAAATTAAGGCTCCCCCAGATGAATGCTAACTTTTCCCTGCGGTGAGAAGCTCCCTTTTTCCCCAAGGAATTTGAACTGCCCAAGGCAGCTAGAGGACTGACTCCTTAATTTCCTCTGTTCTTGGACCAGAACGACCAAAAAAAGCTGTATTTCTCAAGGGTAAAACTATGGGATCTATCCTAGATCCATCTGTGTCTCCAGACTGATGGCTGTCTGGTAACTAGTTCTCTAGACTGGTAACTGTATGTCTAGTCTAGACTCGTTGCCTACACAGATCATGGAGAACAGGCTCCCCTGCTCACAGAAAGGAGGTTGGGAGGGTGAAGAGTCCTGCCCGATGGGAGCCTCTCCATCTCCTGACCATATCGGCGCCTTGGTGACTACCTTAATCCAAACAATATCTTTCCCTCCAAAGTGTCCCCAAAGCCACCTCAGAGGTAATTTTTTTCTACCACCTTACCTCCTTTCCTCCTTATCAAAACACATAGTACAGTTTTTAAGTAATCCAAGCTCTTAATGCCCTGAAAACAGCAAAAAAAAAGTCCCTGTTTTAGGTCCAACAGCTGTTGAGGCAGCTGAAGGCTGCATTGCCTTCCACGGGCGTTGGACAGGGCCCATAATAAACAACCTGGGAATTAGCTGAGCAAACGGATCACATTAGGGCAGCCAGAGGACTTTACGTCAGGCAAAACAACATGATCAGGGTCTGCCAGTGGGTTGGAAAAGCAACTGGACAAGTGAAGAGCCCAGGCTTAGTTTACAGCAGTAAAACCCAGTAAAATCCCCAGAGCAGCTGCCCACAGCCCTGGTTGGCAGCTCCTTGGCAGCCCCAGGGGCAGCACACTTTCCAGCCCATTAGGGTAGAGAGGGAAAATCTCTGACTAAGGTGCAAGGCAGCTGTGGTAGGACTGAGCTGGCATTAGCCATAGAAACCCCTTCTGCTTTGTAATAACTCGAACATTTGAAAATGGAAAACAGCTTGCACATTTCCAGTCCAGAATCTTCTGACAAATAAGATAGTGAGGTAAGATGCAGGCAGCAGCCTTCAAGAGTTGGCCAATAAGACTGTGTTTCAGTCCGAAAAATGATACCTTTATAGCTGCATAAGGTTATAGGTCCAACGTATTTTAGCAAATAACAAAAAATGCAGCAGAGCAGAACGCACTGCCTTGCAGAACACCACAACCAGAAAAATCTGTGTTCTCCAGGCAGAAAGGGAGAGCTAACTGTATGTGACTTGCAGTACAGGGTTGAAATCCACAGCCACTGTGATGCCAGGTGATGCAGTCAAACCAGCAGCACCATTTCCAAGTCCACTTGCAATGAATTTGTATCATGTTCTTTGCCCTCCAGATTGTTCCTTATTATAGGTGGTGTTTTAGGAACCATAACAATGGGATTTACTGTGCCCATTCTATCAATAACAGATCAAAATGCTTTTGCAGTCCAAGTGCAGAAAACCTTGAAGACACTTGCAGATCCTTACACTCACTTCATAGACAGCTGCCTGACTGTTCACAATAGATTAGATTATGGACAGAGTGCAGCAAGCTAAGAGAATGTCAGCCAGCAATGACAGCAATAAATGCACAGAATAAAATAAAATTGAAGTTGATTTTAGGCATTTTTTCACACTTTATCATCTTTGCAGATCTTTCAAATTTCTAATAAATGATTAAATGTTAAAAATACAGCAAATAAATAGTGAACAGCAATCACAATGGCAAAGTAAAATATTACTAATACTGAGAAATGGATGTTGTAGATATACAAAAAAACCCCAACAAATTAAGTGTTTAATGATTATGTTTAATTGCATTTCTATAATTTCTTCCTCTGATACAACCATGCTGGATGTAACATATATTAATGGCTTGCTAAATAGGACCACATATTAAAATATCAAGGTCTTAATTCCTAAGGCAATATTGTTTGATAAAAGAATGTGATGTGTTTATGGCTTGAAGGGCTGACACCATTTCAGCCAACAACTACAGAAGATCAGGAAGTACAGCATCACCGCTGTGCGGTCACTATGGAAAGTATCCCTGTTCGCTGCTTACTGTAGGAAATCTCACAAGCACTGCTCCTTACAGGAAATACTTAGGGTTTGCTCTGTTTGGGTCTAGGTGAGGAATTTTTCAGGTGAGACTGAAGACAGACAGTTTAACAGACACCAGGCCTGTGACAATTCAGCACACGCAGTGGCTGACACGGCACCCACTGACTTTCCCTGCAGCACAGCCCGTTGTGTGCAGACAGGACAGCGATGCTGGGACAGCCTTCCCTCAAACAGGGAGGACTGACAGGACAGAAAGGCAATGAACACCTAGTCTACCACGTGCCTCTTTGTCAGCAGCTTGCTGCTGCTCATACACAGTTGTTACCTCAATCTGAAACCTCAGGGTAAGGCAAACAAAGTGCCTGCTTGAGCAACAGCCTTGCAGGAGCTGGGAAACCGCAGCAGTCGAGACCACATAGCTAACCCATTGCTGTGTGAATGCAGTGCAAGCATCTAAACATATTTCCTTTTTTTTTTACTTTGAATTCGTTTTTCCTTTTTTCCCTCCTTTTCTCCTTTTGCTGTAATAAACAAGTTCTAGCAACACATTAGTAACAATGCCTTTGTGCTTCAAACTTGACACTCATCATATAAAGAAAACTCTCTGTATTTTTATTTGATTGATCTCAGTCTGCCAAAGACAACGAGGCATCTTAATTTTCATTTAGGCTTAAATCTGAGGGAAAGTCCACTGCTAAGAAAAACTGTAAGGAGGAAGGGGCATTTGTCCAGGGAAACCTTGCTCTAAAAATGGAAAATTTAGGCTATTGTATACAAAATGGCTAATAGTATACAAAACACCTGGAAGGTGCAAAGAATCAGTTCTATTTCCAGTGGGAATAGCAAGGTCAATTACACAATAGGCTTGGCCACAGAGACCAACTGTGTAAAAATGAAGGCAGAAAACCTTTCAGAAAGAAGCAATGAAAGTTCCATTTTGCAATTTTTGTCTTCAGAAACTGCTGTTTCTTGGCACACGGTTTGACCTCTTTCCAAGAAATAATCCACTTATGGGTGCAATGCTGTCTGAGATATTTCTAACACATAATTTGAGAATTTCCCTGAGACTAGCAATTGTGGGATTTTAATCTCTGCCAAGCAGCTGCACAAGTTCCTGATGACTGCTGGAATGAACTAATGGCTGAGCAGGACAACAGCATCACTCTGAGCCAGCTCTGCTACCTTACAGTGGTGAGAAAGCAATGCTCCAGCATGAGTCAGTCCCTCGTTTTAATGCCTAATGACTTGTCCATGGTAGGAATGTGATTCTCCACTTGCCATCACTGCTGTGGTTTTTCCTCCAGAGTAATGGCTGACTGTTACTGAAAACCTGGATGTGTGACAAGTGGACTTATATATTATATACACCATCTATCTCTCAAGCTGTCTACACATTTGGATACATCAGGGATGTCACCTTCTTTCATGTCCTACCCACCAGCAGTCATCTCCTGTCACTGCATACCAGGCTCCATAGCACAGCACATAGGGCTCCCACAAGATAAATTCTCCTGCCATCACTTTCTGTCACTCCTTTTAGTTCTTTCTCTGCCTGTCACTGTGCAACTCTGCCCTG